GTCAATTTTCTTTGGCAAAATTCTAAGAAGTAAATTGTAATATGCAATAGTTCTATCGAAGGAATTTCATTTGAATGGTAATACCATATGATTTAAAAGTAAAAATGACATACCATCTGGAAAACTGGAAGACAAAAATTGTACCATCGTATCAGTGTGCATGGTAATATGGGTAACTGGCCGCCAATAGCGTAGCGCGCGAATGACGTCAAAGTGACTAATTTGCAATTTTTGTTCGAGTTTTGTCATTTTTCTCATTTTAATGACAAAAGACAGACGAACATGACATTTTGATAACAAAAGTCAGAAAAAAGTGAGGAATTTGTTAATGTTAATTCTAGTTTGCTTGTCTGAGTTTCGGGTCTATAAATATTAACTGCGCACAGCGCTATTGTTCGATGCTCTTATCTGTCACTCTAAGTTACAAAAGTATAGGTGGTTTTCACGTTACTTCATCGCCGCCATGCTGGTGAACGGTAAACAAGAAGATCCCTCATTAGCTCGCTTTGTTTGTCCACCAGCATTTGTTCATTTCACCATCGTTATTTGTATCTCCCGAGATATCACGAAAACCACCTATTGGCCTGGCTGTGGAAAACCAGTCATAAAATGTATATTTTCTGTTTTGAGTCAGAAAAGGCAAAACTTTCCCCAAAAACTTGAGTCAAGTTTACTTTCATGTGACCTGCCTATTGTGACTAAGTCTGGCTTACCTTGTCCAGGAAAATGATGTCACAATCCCGACGGAAGTCTACCTTCATCGTTTTCTTGACCATCCAAACGTCATTAAACTGTATGACTTCTTTGAGCATGCGCAGGCTTACGTCATGGTGCTAGAGAGACCGCTGTACCACAAAGACCTGTTTGATTACATCACAGAAAAGAGGCGATTAAATGAGAACGAAGCAAGAAGAATTTTTCTTCAAATTATCGAGGCGGTGATGTACTGCGAGTCTAAGGGGATATTTCATCGTGACATCAAAGACGAGAATATCTTGCTAGATACTAGAACTGGCCAAGTCAAGTTACTGGATTTTGGCTCGGGTACTGTCCTAGAGAATACACTATACACAGATTACGAAGGTAAGAAACCATACAAACTAGTGGGGAATTCTCTATGAACATCTTTCAGAAATTTGCCTGTCATAGATCTGGCGCTTTTACTTCAGGAAAAAAACTGTGGAAAAATTTGTGGGAAAATTACAAACAGGACAGGGTAAGTTCTAGTCTCCCTCGCAGCCGTTTTTTGGATGTCACGCAACGCTCCCCCAAAAGAGGGAAGAGGGGGGTGGGGGGGGGGGCGTTGCGTGACATCCAAAAAACTGCTGCGCGGGAGAGTGGGAGAGTAGGTAAGTTCTAGCTTTAGAAACTAAAGTGTAAAACTCATAAACTTTTCACTGGGATATTTATACTAACACTGAAATTTGACAAAACTGATGTAGTCCACAAAGTGCAACAAACAGGTCACTGTTTCGGCTGTAGACGGTTACAGACGGAAACCAATGCACTCAAATCATCCATTAAACTCGCCTCAAACCTTTTTTTCTCTTGCAAATGTTTCCTCCAGGAACGCGAGCGTACTGTCCGCCAGAGTGGTTTCGTTTCCATCGTTACTATGGCAAGCCCGCCACTGTATGGTCACTTGGTATCCTGCTGCATAATATGGTCATGGGAGATGTGCCTTTTTCAAACGAGGTGGAGATAGTGCGCGCAGAGTTGAATTTTGCCGATGACGTCAGCGAAGGTGGGTTATTTGCCAACCACGTGTTCAGGTTCTTCCCCCTTCTTTCCTCGGAAATTAAAGGGGAAAAAGTGAGGACCCCGAGAACAAGGCTGGTGGTTGGCAAATTTTGCAAGAAGTAGAGGAGCGAGGGGTGGTGGAATCGTGTTATCTAGTTCTCAATGGTTAATTACCACTGACAAAATTTCCGGAAATTGTAGTGGAAACCTAAGTGGAAGACGACTTTTAAGGTCATTTCAGTGAAAAGGTTCCACAGGCAACGATGGGTCTAAAAGGGTAGCCTTATTTTCCCTTATTTTTACGGAAGTTCGTGTCCCATTCCGAGCAAAGGTGGCACAGTTGGTTAGTGCGCGGCCTTCGGTGCGAGGGGTCCCGAGTTCGATCCCCGGTGACATCACATCCTTGTTTCAACTTCTCTCCTTTCTGTGTAGCTTTGACCTGCTTTAAATACCCTTAAAACGGAGCATTGATGGAGAGAGAGGGTGGGGGGTGGGGGGGGATAAAATGAGCGCACCGTCGACTTCAAGTTTATCAGTTATAACTGTCGCGAGTTATCGAAGTAAAATAAGTAGGTTGCTTTACCTTCACCTTAACCTTCAAATATAGTCTATGATACCAGTTTCTGAAATGAGAGTGCTACTAATCCTTTTTTGACCCTTGACTTTTTTCTTTGCGCGGGTAGACACTATCTACTTAGTTGTCTTATACTTTGCAAGTTTTGATGCGATGCCCTTAAAACCATGTATCCCTCAGGCTCGGTAACTCAACAGATTATCTGTTTTTTTCTCTTCAGACTTGCAAGATATTATGCGATGTCTGTTAGCTAAGCACCCCTCCTACAGACCAACTCTAGAAGAAGTTGTTCAGCATCCCTGGCTTCAACATCATAAACACAAACCTCGATCCTGCCCTGACAGGAGAGCTTGTCAAAGCGCCCCTGTCCCGGTAGATCCTATTGTAGACCGACGAGAGAGACGCCAGAGGCGAGGGAATTCGGTTTTATGAGACGGAAGGGAATTATATCTGCTCTGAAGAGGCTGTCGTCTGATTGACAGCTGTTGTCATTGCCTGTGTGATCAAGACGTTTTTAAGAACTTAATCATGCACGTGCATGAGCCAGGCAAGTGTGTGACATCCGACAATTAACGTTAAAAATTTCACGTGCCGTATGTGCGTTACGGAGTTAAAACATGGTCAATCTCGTGGATGTTGAAGATGTCATTGTACTGATGTAACTATCCTTCGCATGCAAGATCTAAACGTCGTTTGAAAAAGACGCACTTTGCACTTAACGTGCAAATTAACAATCTTTACGTTAGTCGGTAAAGACTGAGGGGTACAGAAAAGAACCTAACGTGGCTAACTTAAGCCTTCTTTGCGGTTGGAAAGCAGTTGACTGCTGGGAGACCCCCCTCCCCCCTGTACAGTTGCACTGAGCTCTGTTTCGCCGGGATAGTTGAAACAAAGTCTTAAATTCGGAAAAAGAAGAAGAGAAGCATAAAAATCACACTTTTCCGATATTTTTTGCATACTAGAACTCGAGCTTCGGATAACCTAATTCGAATTTAACGAGAGACGGTTACTCGATATTGCAGCTGCTAGAACAACACCTTATGAGAAGGAAATAGAAGGAGATATACATTCTGCACACCAGAGACTCGAGTCGACTTTTCTCGTGAAAGGAGATGTAAATAGCTTCTTTCCCTTTCTCTCTTATGGTCATTCTTTTCGACCCTTTTAAGAGCCTACTCCAAACAAGAACCAAACAAATAGAGTACGAAAAAAAGAGATGAAATTTAGGGCATGAAGGATCGAGGTGTATGTCAATGACTAATCTAAAAGAATCTGTAATAAAATATTGTTACTAATGTTTATACTTTTTTCTTGCACTATTTATATTGTCATATCAAGTTTTTTATGGTAATGACTAATGATAATGATCAGTGGATATGATGATGATGATGATGATGATGATGATGATGGTAATGATAGTGATGACAATTAGCACTTATTGGATTAGACTTTTGTATGTTATGAAGAATCAGGTCTATATTCAGTCTAGAGAAGGAAAGTTACCGCTCATTTGAAGAGAAGAGAAAAAACGTAACTCCAAGGAACTCTTTAAGAGAATATGAAGATTTACCTCTTTTGGGGCTCCAGCCTAAAGGCAAAGCCACCATACGTAAAACAGTGCGCGCTAATCACACGCGAAATTATGCGCAGTAAAGAAGCACAATGCAAGACTTAGGAGTAAGCTTAACATGTGCTTACCTGTATGTAACGCTTCCGTCTTCAAAACACTTACCTGTTTCTCGGAAGAAGTGTACCTTCTAATAGCTATTCTTCATGCAGCAGTTGTCATCTGTGAAGAATTGTCACCACTCAAAACTTCAATTTACTATAAAGCCGTTACTGGTCTAAACTCAACCGAGCCCAAAATGGGTCCGACCGCATATAACAACAGTGCTCTATGAAGAAAAACGTGGAGTAGGCGGTCTTTTTCGCTGACTCAAGAAGCGCCCCCCACGTATGAGGAAATGGAAGCAGAAATGAAAAAGAAAATCATGACTTTAATGATCGACCAAAGGTTTACAAAAAAATAAGTTATCTTCACTTGAAGTATTAGGTGTCACACGGAGCCTAGTTCGTGTACAGGTTTTACAAAATTATCTAAGAGTTTATGCGTTCCCAGTGTACGTTTAGCACAGAAGTGGATAGAAAAGGTTAAGTCTGATATGTAGAGGAACCACTTTACAGTTTGGAGTTCAATTCCAAGTAATTGTAACTGAAAAGCAAGGCGGGAGCGATACGACCAACAGAGACTAAGGTTGAATTCGATTGGCCTCATTAAGGAATTAAGGTCTACAATAAAAAAGCGATTCTACATCTCCATTCCCCTGTAATTTTGGAGTTGCTTAAACGTTACTTTTTTAAATCGAAACACTGAATATCCGGCACGGTAGAAAATGTAAGTGTCTACGAAAAGCGAAATTGAAAAAGTAAAAGATTTACTCGAGGCACATCCTAATAGAGTACTAAAGTGTGACGTCATAAAAATGAAATTTCTGAAATTATGGGATTTGTCAGAATATTCTGAAAGAACAATGTCCAAGAGGCCTACATACTAAAAATGAGCATTTCGGGGCAAATTTAGAAGGGTTTGTATGGAGTTTTCTAAGCATAACTGGGCTACGATGTCAGAGACAATTTGCCCCGAAATGCTCATTTTTGGCAAGTAGGCCTCTTAAGCTTGGACATTGTTCTTTCAGAATATCTTGACAAATCTCGTAATTTCAGAAATTTCATTTTTATGACGTCATCACTTTAGTACTCTATAAGCTGTTATATTTACAAGCCGCATGTACATGCGTCTGTGAAGCGATAAATAGTACTACAAAATTAATAAATAAGCTATTGAACTGAGCAGTGTTAGTGCCATCATAGGGGCCGGGGCAGATGAGACGATAATGAACCCCCTCTCTAGTCTCCCCCTCCGGTGGCACCATCGTCTTCCTCGGGTCGCGGTGAGACGGATTTTCGGCGCTCCCTTTTCCGCGAGGCCATTCGTTCTTTCAGCTTTTTCTCGCGACTCTTCTCGTCCAACACGTGGGAGGAACGTTCCACTTGGGCCGCATCTTCGTCCGATGCCTCAGCTGAACTGGTGCTCAGTGATTGGCCAGGAGGAGCCAGCTGTGTCAATTAAAATAATTAGGCAAATTAGTAGTAACAATCAATAGCAATGACAATCAAACACAGCATCAATAGTCAGACATAATCACAATCACGATCATTATCATAAGGTCATTCTATATGATGCAGGATTTCCCGCGTTGGTTCCACAAGAAAAAAATCCTCTTTTTGGACATCTAACAAATTCCTTATTGACTCAGCCTGTCCGGTCAAAATGGATGAATATGGGCATGGTTCTTTTTTGCGCTTCTATTGACATCAATGATGTCATGTGTTACCCTCATTAAATAAAGTTCCTACCCCACCTACCTACCTACTCAAAAAAGAACTTGGCCATTAGCCAGCCATTTTGACCTCACGCTTGGTCAAAAACGCATATGCTCATTTACGATTCTTACAATATTGACCTGTCTCAGTTGATATAACTATCAAGCAAATTAATAGCAACTACTGATCATCATTACGAATCGAGGTGGATAACAACCTTAGAAATTTGCATAATTCTACATATCGTACGAAACTCAAATTCAATAACCATTTTTTAGTCATTCACAGCATTTCTAGGTTTAAAACATCCTTACCTCCCTGTAGACTTCCTTCAAAACATTCACCTGTTCCTTAGCAGTTTCAGAATATAAACAGAGGGTTCACACATCCATCGACTTATATTTTTGCGTATTCTAGTCAGCAATGGCCTGTTTACATGGAGGTGGCGGACCCCAGGTAGGTGAGGTAACCAGCTTAAGCGGGGTAACCCACCTGTCTATATAATCTCTCATTTTAATTTGATCACGTTTGCATGATAGGTGGGGTGACAATATGAGAAATTACATGGACAGGCGGGTTACCCCACCTAAGCTGGTTACCTCACCCACCTGGGGGTCCCCCACCTCCATGTAAACAGGCCTTAAGGTGGCTCGACTGGATTTTTTGGGGTTGATACCTTCCAACTTTGAGCATTAACTACGTCGGCATGAGTAAAGATATGGAAAAAAGGTTACCACAACTGTATTATAAAAATATGAAAATTTCTTATGATCTGGGTTTTATTGCAATCGGAGTCGCCATGGCAACGTAATGACGCCATTACGTTTTTCATTTATCTTTGTGTTTCTCTGTTCCAGGAGTTTTTTGATGAAATCGCTTAAGGGAGTATGTACCTGCTATAATTGCCTCCATTATGGCGTAATTTCAACAAATTCTATGAGAGCGTTTTCGAAACATTTTGAAATGTAGTTTTAAGAATGATAAAAACAGTGAAATAGCATGCTAGCCACACAATTCGCTAATATTTTAAGAAAATGATAAGCTTTGGCAACGAGGCTTCATCTCATAGTGGTTTGACTCCATTGGAAACTGCATCCAAAAAAAGAGGTGAATTGCTCTGGGCGATCGCGAGTAAGAAGAATTTTATTAACTTGCATTTAGCTGCTTTTGATACAGTTTTTGGACGTAATTTGGTCCATCCCTAAAAATTTCGCATTTTTCCTAAAAACCGCTCAATAAATTTTTTTATAAATTCGACAATCCCGAGATCAATCGTCAAGCAATATTCCCTGCAAGTTTTAAGAACATTGAAAATAGCGAAGGCTTTTAAATAGGACCTCAAATATAACCAATTTTCCCCCCAGATTTTGTGTTTACAAGTGAGCGCCCTCATTATTCACTGGCATTGTTTTCAAGTTTCATATACACGTGCACATTTAGCAAAAAGATAGAATTTGCATCAGAAAGGACCCTCGGTTAAATCTTCGGGATATGCTAATTACCGGGTAAAGAGATTAATGACACATTATAACATCAAAGCAACTCTTTGTGATAGTTTCTGTGATGTTATAACCCGAGTAAGATAATTAAGTATTCCATCCTACGCGATGAGCCGTGACGTTCACCGTTTCGGCTCTCACTGCTATCTGTGACGACAAGCCAACTATTAGCATATTCCTGATATTTCTTCGGAAAGTAATCGAGAGTTCTTTTTTATGCAAATTTATATCTTTTGCTGCGACCATTTAGTCTCTCGCTATTTTCTTTATCTCGGCAAAAGACTAAGCTGCCAGCTGCCGTACCCTTGCGAACGTGACCACAATCAGGGTGCAAAGAAAGTCAGTTTTACAGCTTGCCATTCGGACAAGCTGTAGCCGTCACGTACTGGCCCAAAAGTCATTTCAACTAGCCCGAAAAAACATGAGCACTGGTTACAGTTCTTCTGCGATTTGAATTCTCCCAAAAAACTTCATTCGCCCGTCGGGCAAGATGAGAATAGAAATCACTACCCCGATCGCAAAATCCACTTGCCCCTGGCCATCAGACACTACTTTCTTTGCACACTGCCTCGATAGTCCATAATTTTCTATTTTCCTATCGTTTACTCCCTCTAAGACGGGACCGGCACTACGTGTCCGTCTTATACATAGTCAACTTAAAGAAATAAAAAGGCAGGGACCAACGAATAATCGTTTGAGTTGACTATGTATAAGACGGACATTTCTCTAAGGGCCTGTTTACATTGAGATTGGAAAACGAAGTTTTTGGATATTGTTAATATTCATGCGCCACTCCGAACTAGACGTACTAGAACAAATAAAGCACCCTGGATCAATTCAGAATTAAAGAAAGGCATGCGTGATCGTGATGCTGCCAAAAGAAAAGCAATTACATCGAATGATCCACACGATTGGAAAAGGTACAAAAAGTTGCGAAATATAATAAACAATGACATCAAAATTTCTAAAGCATCTTATTATTCTAATGCATTTATTCAATCTAAGGGTAATCCTCGAAAAACGTGGCAAACCTTTAATGAGCTTACATCCCGTCGTGTGAATAATACAACGGTGAAAGAACTGAAATTGAATGATACCATTATCTCTAATTCTAGTGAGCTTTCTGATGCTTTTAATGACCATTTTTCAACAACTGGGCCCAGACTTGCTAATGAAATACCTCTAACTGCTGAAAATAATTCAAGTTATATCAATAATATAAAGGTAAATAACAACAATTTCAGCTTCTCCTCGACTAACTGCAGCATTGTTTTCTCACATCTAAACAAATTATGTAGATCTAAAGCAACTGGTCTTGATAATATTTCTGCTAAAATTGTACGTGAATGTGCTGATCTTATTTCAGTTTCACTATGTGATCTCTTTAATAAATCTTTAGTCTCTGGTATATTTCCTGATGATTGGAAATGTGCTAGAGTTACTCCGTTGTTCAAGGAAGGTGAGCCATCTGATCTGAATAATTATCGACCTATTTCAGTCATTTCCGTTATAGCTAAAGTGTTTGAAAGGATTGTTTATGATCAGTTGTATAACTTTTTGACCAATGAAGATATCATTTCTAATCATCAATCGGGTTTTCGCTCGTTACACTCAACTGCAACTGCCCTTCTGGAAGCTACGGATAATTGGGCCTTTAATATTGATCGTGGCAATGTTAATGCTGTGGTTTTCCTCGATTTAAAAAAGGCTTTCGACACCGTTGACCACGATATCCTTCTAGCTAAAATGAACCTTTACGGAATACAAGGTACAGCTCTTGATTGGTTTAGGTCGTATTTAACTAATCGTACACAACGATGTCTTGTTAACGGTTCTCTTTCTAGAATCTGCTCTCTTAAATGTGGGGTACCGCAAGGAACAATCCTTGGCCCCCTTTTATTTCTTATTTATATTAATGACTTGCCAAACTGCCTTACTTCGTGCCAGCCTAGAATGTATGCCGATGACACCCACATTACTTATGCTGGCGTTGATGTGAATTCAATACAGTTAACTCTGAGTCACGATTTAGATAACCTAAACAAATGGCTTATTTCCAATAAACTTACTTTGAACACTTCTAAAACTGAATTCATGCTAATTGGCTCCAGACAAAAATTGAGTACTTTGTCGAACCCACTTGAGCTCTGGATTAATAATGTTCCGATAGAACACGTTTCCTCTGTCAAATCGCTTGGAATATTTATTGATGAAAATCTACGGTGGCAAACACACATTGATAAATTATCTAAAAAGGTCGCTTCCGGAATTGGAGCAATAAAAAGAATTAGACCTTTTGTCCCTCCACCTACCCTTCACTATATATACAACTCACTAATTCAATCTCATTTCGATTATTGCAATCTTGTCTGGGGTAATTGTGGTAAAACATTATTTGACAGGCTACAGAAGCTTCAGAACCGTGCCGCTCGCGTTTTAACCTTCTCTAGCTATGATGCTGATGCTAACCGTTTGATTAGACAACTCGATTGGAAAGACTTGAGCACTCAATTTCAAATACAGAAATCCATAATGGTATACAAGTCTTTAAATGGCCTTGTTCCTGAATATTTATCATCTAAGTTTGTTAAACGAAATGAAACGCGTTACTCCCTGAGGGACTCTGTTAACAAACTATTTGTCCCATTTCCGCGAACTAATTTCATGAAAAACAGCTTTACTTATAGCGGAGCAGTTCTCTGGAACAGCCTACCCTGTCATGTGAGAGAAGCCGAATCTCTTAGTCAATTTAAAAGATTAGTTAATGTTCACTTTTAATGTTATACACGGCATTCATGAAAAACAGGTTTTAGTTAGATTAGTTGTAGTCAGGTTTTGAATTTTGTTTAGGATAGTTAGGTTATTTTTAATTTTTTAAATTCCTGATGGATTTTACCGTGTTTAAATAAAGATTGACTTGACTTGACTGACAGATGGGGGACCCCGCCTGTCCATATAATCTCTCCTTCTAATTTGATCACGTTACATGATAGGTGAGGGTGACCCGTCGCGGGTTACCTCACCTACCTGGGCTGCCCCACTTCCAGGAAAACAGGTCCTAAGACGGACTAATAATGCTGGCCTCGAACGTGTCCATCTTAGTTGTCGTCATCACTATCACAACGACAATCACAATCCCAAGTATACCCATAGTTACAGTCATAATCAGAGTCATAATCGTTATCACAAGGCTCTTCGGATCCTTTTTAAATCTTACGGCAATGACAAAATATCGCGCAGTCATTCAAAATAGCACTACGATTTAACAATCGTAATCAGAGTCAGCCATAATCGTTATCGTTAACGTAATCATAAGCCTAGCCTGACAACAACAAACGACGTCGAGTTACCACCATTTTTAACTCATTGTGCGTGGAAAGCGATACGATTTCGCATAAAGCCACGTGACTTACCGCCACAGTTGATACGCGACGTGTCTCACTCTTGAATCTCTCTTCCATTTTTGCAGCTATTCGTTTCATTTTCTCCTCTTCACTCAATCCCTCCTTTTCTTCTTCCGTCAACAGACTTTCGAAACCTTGCGCTTTTTCGTCCTTTGGTTCACGCATAGTCATCGTGCGTTCGTAGCGTACTCGTGCGATACGTTCCCGAACCATCGTGATTTGACGCTCGCGTTCTTCCTGCAAGGGAAAAATACAGTCATACCTTATATGGCGTCGACGACCACGTCATACTAACGACCGTGAGAGCCTGGACCGATGTCTTGGCTTGATATCCACCACAGGGGTCTTAGCTCTCCTCTAGTAACTCCCAAATGACGAAAAGCCATTTTGAAAGTAAAAAAGCAAACGGACAAAGAAACAAAAAACAAAAAAACACACACACAAAACGAACGAAGCACTAGCGCCAAATTACAAGAGGATTACTGAGAGGATAAAATGGTCGTAGAGAAACGAGCGAAAAAAAGGCACAGAGTATAAAGCAACGAACCTTTTTCTGCTGTTCTACAAATGTCTTCTGTCTTTCTCCAAGTCCCAGGATAGAGGCAACTACTTCCTGTTTTTGTTCAATTTTGGTCTTCTTCTTCTCTTTACGCGCTCGTATCTAAGCAGGGGGAGGAGGAAATCAAGGGTGAATTCTTTTTATTTCTTTCGGATTCTTTTTCATAAAACTGCAGCGGTCGACAAGCTGAAAGTAATACTTGTTTTCTAAAAAGGACATGTGTCCGACAAAATCATCGTTTCAGTCGGATAAACCAGCAACGCTGTCAGAGTAACATCGGGTTGACTTTCAATTTCTTTTCGTTTGTTGCTGGTTCTCTTCCTTGCTCCTTGGGCTTTAACTTCAGGTACTCCGCTTCCCCCCTCTCCTCAAAAACCAACTTTTCCTAATTGCTACTCGATCTGGAACGCACGGTCAAGTTTGTGCGAGTTACGAACTCCTAATTGCTTCGTGGGTAAAGAAATAACAACATTGAAAAAACAAAACAAAACAAAATTAGCTTCAAGCTTTAAGTTGGTATTATTTGGTATTTGAACTGCCCGGTTATTACGTCCCACGGCAAATAAGGTTTTGTAGAACATTGTGGAAATTTTAAACGGACATTGCCCGCAATTATTTGCAGCTCTGGGTCGGCCAACAAATTTGCAAATTTGACGGTCGCGTGGTGTCTGTCAACTGCTACAAAACGAAAGAAAACAGAAGCTCACCATCTCTTCTTGGCGTGTTCTTTCCCGTTCAAACTTCATTCCTACATTGGTACGTTCACGGAAGAGAGATTGAACTATCTCACGCTGCTTTTCTTCAGATACGTCTACGTCTATTACCGTCTTCTCTCGTTTCATAGCAAAACCACCCTGCACGAAGAAACAAGAGTAAGAAGAAGAAAACTCTACATGATTAGACAACAAACGGACGAAAAAACGGAAAATAACAATGATGATAATTATAATCACGACGACGAGATCAGGATAATGATGACGATGATGATGATGATAATGAAGATGACGATGAAGTGGTGGTGGTGGATGATGATGATGATGATGATGATGACGATGATGATAATGATGACGATGATGATGATGATGATGATGATGATGACGACCGCAGTAGACGTAGTTAGACATACCGGTAAAGCCCAGTCCTGGGCGGGTTTTGTTTCGTCCGCCTTTTTCTTCGCCTCATCTTCGGCTTTCTTTTTAGCCTCTTCTTCTTCTTCCTTTCGTCTTCTCTCTTCCTCTTCTTGGGCTTTCTTTCTTTCTCGTTCCTCTCGTCTGCGCGCTAATCGTTCGTTCAGCTACGGGAAAATAATGCAAGAAAAACTATAGTCAGCTTTAGGAAGGAAAAACCGACCTGAAAGGCGGACAGACAGTCATGGTGGCCATTAGAAGGTATGTACTTTGCGCCACATTTCACCTGTTTTTTTTTTAATGATTGTAAGGAAAACACCTCTTACGTGTCTATAGACTTTAAAGGTTTGGATGAACTGGAGTTTTATCTTAACTCCGGAGCCAAATTGTAACTAGGAGAAAAATTATTTTCAGGTTGGTCTAATATGCGTGTCACCTGAGACTTTCGACGAAAAACAACCACTGGCGCGTGGGTTGTAGGCTTTCACTATACAACAGTGGTACCTCCGACACAACAGAAGAGCTGGTGTAAACCCTCCAGTTGAGAGAGGTGTTTGTTTTACTGAGCGCCTCTACAACCCCATCTAATTGGACAGCAAATCGCTGCTGTGCAGGTATGAGTTTTAGCTTTACCGTATCCTTGGCGCCTGCCCGTTTCAACATGGTCTTTTCCCTTATGAGTGCAAACTGTTTCTCTGCCATCGTGACAATTGAGGCGGCCATGTCCTCCTCGTACTGTTGCTCTTCTCGCTTTCTTCGTCTCGCCTCTAGTCTTTGACGCGTCAGTTGTCGCTGCCTCTCCACAGCGTCTGCCATCGCCTAAAAAGACAACAAGGAGTCATTATTGGAGACAAGGAGCCAACATGGAAAAAACCGGGTCAAAAATAGAGACAAGGAGTCAAAATGGAAAACTATGGGTCAACATTAGAAAAGGGAGTCAACATGAAAGGAAAAGGGTCAGTATTGGAGGCAAGGAGTCAACACGGAAGACAAAGGGTCAACACTGAATACAAGAAGTCAAAATAGAAGATATCGAGTCAACATTAGAGACAAGGAGACAAAGTGAAAAACAATGGGTCAACATTGGAGCCAACGAGTCGACATGAAAGGTGAGGGGTTGATATTGGAAACAAGAGTCAATAAGGAAGACAGGGGTGAACACTCGAGACAAGGAGTCAAAATTAAAGACAAAGGGTCAACATTGGAGACAAGAGTTAAACATTGGGAACAAAGAGTCAACATTGGAGACAAGGGGCCAAAAAGGATGACAGGCTGTCGACATTAGAGGCAAGGAGCCAACATAAGAGACGAGGGGTCAACATTGGGGACAAAAGGTCAACATTGACGACGGCGGCTCAAAAATGAGGACAAAAAGGTCAGCAGAAGAAAACATCTCCAATCTCACTTCAACGCTGAGAGGCATAACATCAATAAGCATTGAAGTATCATCCAGTCCTTGCGGTGTTGTTATGTGACCTTTAAGTCCTTTATTTGCGAATTTTACCTTTCTCTTAGCATCATGCTGCCTTTGTAACAACTCCAGAGCTTTTTGGATTTCCTCTTCTGACGCTCCTGCGAGCTTACGGCTTTCCTTCTCCTTTTCCATCTCAGCCTCCAACTCTGCTAATTTGGCTTCCTGCTCTTCTTCCAGTCGAGCTTCCTCTTCGTCACCTTCAGTTAAGTTGGACATCGGTGATCGCTAACCAGGGAGAAGAAAAAATGTCAAGAAATGGAACCTGTGTATACGAATGGGGTGTACCACTGTAATACCTATGCTGCTTTTTTTATCATGGCGTATAATGTGGCCCCAATTTGAGTGTGTGGATCAAATTTTTAAGTGGACCTTGTGAAATGAACCTACTACTCAGTAATTTCCTGTGGTAAATTTATTTTTGGTTGTGCACAGTAGCCAAATCATATGCGTTTGTAACTGAAATTCTTAAATGTGACCTTTCAAATACGAGGTTTTGACCAGTGCTGTCATTCATGTGGCATTATTTATCTTACTAATCATGGTGCTTTTGAGTGAGTTCCTTTGCAATGATCCGGTTCAGGATCAGTTATCATTATCAAATGAACCGATGAATCCATTCCCAGGATGGATTCGTCGGTTCCTTTGACAAGCTATGATCCGAGTGATCTCTGATCCTTATTCGGATCATCCCAATGGAACGTACCCTTAGACTGCGTTTGAGGAAGATAGTGCTTTAAGACACTTTGCGGATAATTACGATGGAATTAGGTAAATTTTGAGCTTTTAAAATCTTCACGTGACTTTCAGGAGAAGCTACGAAGTGCTTACGTCAAATGACACATTTAGCTTCACAGTATTGTATTAAATGGATAGTTGAGGAATTTGCCAATTTACCGTCATAGAAAATAAAAAAGTAAAATTTAATTGTAAATTATAGTAAAAACATATATGGAATTAGCACTGCTGTAATCTAGTTTATATTCGTAAGTACTGCCATTTAAGTGTGTAAATCCGCTATTTTTTCTTTTTATTCATTTATTTATTCCGTGTAATTTTTTTCTCTTCCAGTTTGTTCCGTGTAATTTCTTTTCTTCTTTGTGTTTTACTTGCAATAAAAAAATATATTTAAAAAAAAATACCGTCATGGTAGTGCTTCTTTTCCTCATGGGACGTGATCCCATCAAGGCGGCCGCGAGGTTGTCCATCCATCCTTCCCGGCGTGCCATGCGCTGATCCGTCTTCACTCGAGAGAGGACAGTCTCGTCCTGTAAACACAAATAATAAAGGCTAAATCCAAAGGCACATTGAAGGGAATAGTTTTAGGGATGTCATGGAACACTTGAGCATCACTCTCATCCTAGCAGTATAAATCGTAACAGTACTCAATACACTGACAAATCTCAAGCTGACGGTGCGCTCGTTTAACCCCTCCCCCCTCTCCATCAAGGATTTGAGGTCACACCTTGGAATAGACCTTTTTACCGATACGGCGGCCAAACTGAATAATTTAGATTTAAGGAGTATTATGGGATGCCCAGGGGGCATAAGCAAATTCTGTTTACTATATACAAGCGCCTTTCGGGGCATTTTTACCAGAAGTTTTCTTAGAATAAGATTGTAATGGGAAAAAAGATCGTGCCATGTTAGGATGTAATAACGATCACCTTTTTCCCGAGAATTTTAAAGTGAAAGCCATATTTCTAGTACTAAGCGAGTACAACGGATCGTAATCATGCCCCCTGGACATCCCATAACACTCCTTAAATCGAAGTAATTCAATATGGCCGCCCTATCGGTGAAAAGGTCTATTGAACTCGGGGCCTTCCGCACAGAAGACCGCGCACTAACTAGCTGTGCTAATCCTTGCACCGACAACAAGTAGTCAGTCAAGAAAATAGTAAGTAATGTATATCTCCAGAAATCTCCCAATAGGTTACATGTAGTTGGGCGGAATGGTCTACCGACTTCCGGAGGGTAAAGAGTTTTAAACGTTTGCATTGGGAAAATAGAAGCTAGAAAAATCTACACTTTGACTGACCTTATCTCCCAGGACATTATTCATAGCATTGGTCTCGGTCATTTGTTTTTCCTGCAAATCAGCCATTAGAGCAACAGATATTTCTTCCCCTAATTTATCCTCATCGACGCCTTGGGTTAACAGCTCGACCCGCTTGTTTTCTATCTGAAGAACTACTGCATCCATGAGGAACTTCATGTGTTGAGATCTACTCTCTGCAATACGACTGGCGTTCCTCTTCTTTTCCTCCTGTCAACAGATATTAAGCAATTATTGGATGAGGTTTTGGTGATATGCGGAATAATCAAGGTCGAGTTGGTTATTTACAAGCGTGGTCGACGAATTGAACTCGGGACTATCAAGAACGGATCCAGCTAGCAGTCAAAACGGGACTCAGAACCTCCGAATTGCAACCTCAGAGCTCTTACCGCTCGGCCACACTGCCTACTCTGAAGCTGTAACATACCTCAGTTTGAAGATCATCAGGTACCACCTGCATGGCATCCCTGACGGCATCCATTCTCCAAGCTTTCCGGTCCTCAGCGATCTCCTCCAGTCGCGTCTTCCGTTCTTGTTCGCTTAGGTACCTCGCTGCAGACAGAGACTGCTGATCGGCTTCCGCTTTTGCCAGCAGATCCGTCAGTGACTGTAGAGACAGATGAAGATATTTTGTAACATTCATTGAAAGGTGTGTGCTTGAGTACTATCTCAAACCTACAGTCCACGGCTCTCTCAGAGAGACCGTTGGGACTAGCGTTTACCGTAAAAACCTTGGAATCAGAGTTAAAACTTATTTGTTTTCACTATCGCGTTCTTCAGAACGCATCCTAATCTGGTGTTCCTGTTGTACAAAGGCAGACATATTTGGATTATCACGTGCGCCTGTAAATTAGCTGCCCCTACTAATTTTATCAGGGGCATCTCGGCCGGGAAAATGGACTCCTTTCCACTCGATTTTGTTTCTGTAAGTGACAAACGCGGACCCGTAATCAATGATCACCTCTAGTAGTTCCCTATTAAAGTCGTGGGAAAACTTGCTGAAGTACTGATGAGACTCATTTTGTGTGATCATGTCCTAAATTCTCGTCACCAAGCTGTTTTATAAAATATTGATATCGCAAAGAGACACTTGATGCTCATCACTCTTAAGGCTTTAAGGCTTAAACGGATCTAAACTAAGTCCTCGTTTTCTTTCAAAGGAGTGAGTCGAGTCGGAAGGGAAGTATCGACGCCTACATGGTCTTTTTTCTTAAACAGTATTCAAGACAAAACGTTGAAAAAACCAACCTCCTGTTCAGAGGCGTGTTTTCTCTCCACCTCACTCAAAATAGCTTCCTGCAGTAGTGCCAGGCCTCCTTGCTCCATGTCAAGCGCGTTCCTCTTGTCAGCCTCGCTGTCCTCTGCCTGTTCCTTGAGCAGTTTATCTTCCAGTTCCCTTTGCGCTTCTTCTTCCGTTTTTTCCTTTTTGGCCGCTCGGCGAGCCTTCATAGCTGCAATACGATCACGCGCCAACTGTTCCTGGCGAGCGCGGTCTTTTTCGTAGCTACAGAGGCAAAGGAAAAACAGTTTCAATGCAAAAAATTGCACTTTATTTACGTGTCAATGTATTAATCAATGTCAACAGGCGAGCATAACATACTTAGCCTTCTTCGCTGCCTGTTCTTGTTTGGCCATTCCAAGTAAAATGGCTGCAGTATCAAAGTTGTCTTCTTGCTTGAGCCGGCGCTGTTCTCGTCTCATTTTCGCCAGTTCTAACTGCCGTTTCTTTTCGCTGTTAAATTTCGCATCTTGTTCACGAAGAGCTCGTAAGAGAGCTTCCTTTTCCTCTTCAAACTGAGACTAAAAGCGAACAAAAAAAACTTTACTCCATTGTTCAGTATATGTCAGTCATACTTATACTTTAAGGAGATGTATCACGAAAATGAGTGAAAATTCAAACAGTGGGAAATGCCATCAAATTGAGTGAAGCATAGAAATAACTGCTCAAAACTTTAACAAAATGGTAAAAATAACACAGGAAATACAAAAGCAGCACGGATGGACAAAGGTGAAGAAGATTCAAACGGATTGCAATTGTGGTTTTTGAAAACTTGTTAGCCTAACAGTTCATTTCTGTGAAAGGTTTGAACCCAGGAGTCATTTCAAAAGTAGGTTGAGTTTGATCGTCCGGGTTAACGTAGTCCTGAATAGGACTGTTTTTGTTGACAGTGACTGACGTTTCGACAACCTGTGCGGTAGTCATCTTCAGAGTCAAAGTGAGTTGTATCACGCCAGTTGATGGTATTATACTCTGGTTATTGATCTGATTGGTCAATTACGTTACGATGTTATTGGTCGTCTGTAAGTTAAGCCGTGATGCTATTGGCTATGAAGACTCGTAATCAGTAATTGGTGCGTTTCGATCCGTCTATTGTCACAGTTAAACAGTCGTCTATTGTTTATGATATTATGTTTGTGACAAGAAGATTGTGATTTTCTCAATTACAAGTGACTTCTTTGCAAACGTGAAATTAAATAGAGAGCAAGGATACGTCAGACAGTCGTGACAAGAGGGCAGGATGTGCAGTAAGGGGGAATGGCGAAGGACTAGAGACAGAACGTTAGTCATTACCTGTAAATCATTCAGCAGTGTGTTAGTAGTGACCTCCTCTGCGTCCGTGACGGTCTCCTCTATCAGGTGGTTCAAGACTTCTGCATCCACTGCCTCAATGCCTTCGGCTTCCACCTGCTCCAGGGCAGACATTTCCTGTTCGTTTACTTCACCGCCTTCTTTCTTCAGCTTGCGGAGTTTCTCGAGTCGTTCTTGCAAGCGCTGCTTCTGTTGCGCTTTGGATTCGCCCATCAGAGCTCTCAGTGCTGAGTCGTGTTTCATTCCTTCACCAAGAAGCCTGTTAGTTGATGGTAAAAACAAGCAACAACAACAAGAAATTCAAAATTCGATCGAAAGACTTGTAGATTGACTTGGGTAGATAGGCTACCTTACCATATTAAATATAATCTCCTAATAAGTACTACGTAGAATTAAAGGCTTTTTAGCTGTGTAAGCTAGTTTTGTAACATATGCTGTACTGAAATCACGATTAGCTATTATCAATGGTTAGCTAATATCATATCAAACTGCTATGTTTGGCGTAAGAACGAATTCTATCGCATCAAAGATTAAACGTTTAACACGAGCAGTGGCAGATTTTTAGCACTATTTGAAGTGTTCAAAACACGCCGAGAGTTCTTGGAAAAATGAAAGTCCTTCAGCGAGTTGCCTCAGGATAATTTAATGTTCAAAATCGTCCATTCGCTTTACGTTGCGCGGTATCCAATTTTTACGCAACAGTTTTGGGCAGGCTCCCCTGCCCCTTCCCCTTGATTCGCCACTAGGCATCACGCGACACACGAGCACTGTGTGACAACTTTAACCAGTTAACGTGACAGATAATACAAACCTGGACGCTTCGTCTATTTTTCCTTCCTGTCTAAGCTTGCGTTCCTGTAACTTCAGCTTGAGCAGCTTTGCTTGTCGCTCTCTTTCAGAAAGAGCTGCCCACTCCGCAGCCCCCATCTGCTTCATAAGCGCTTCTGTCAGTAGTTTGTCCTTCAATGCGTCATATTTCTGTTCCAGAGCCTCCACCAGTTCTTGCTCTGCGGACTCCTTAGAACTGGTGGCAGCGGTCTTTCTCTTAAGACCCAGGACGCACGCGGCTAAGTTGTCGTACCAACGTTCTTGGCAGGCCATTGTGTGAACGCTTTGCAGCTGTTTGAGTGTCATGGGATTCTGAAAGATTATGACACCGAGTAGCTTAGCACAAACAGTACAGACTAGCTTTTATACCCCTCTGGTTTCAAACAAACGTTATCAAACCTCTCTTAGACCCTATTTATGGGCACAAGGGACACAGAGGACACAAGAGACACAAGGGTCAGGGGGACACAAGGGACACAGGGGGGACACAGGGGACACAGGGGGACACAGGCGACTCAAGGGACACAAGGGACACGAGGGACTCAGGGGACACAAGGGGACACAGGGAATATAAGGGACACAGGAGACACAGGGGACACAAGGGACACAGGGGACACAAGGGGACACGGGAGACATAGGGGACACAAGGGACACATGGGACACAAGGAACACAGGAAACACAAGGGGACACAAGGGGACACAGGGGACAAAGGGGAACCAAGAATCCACGATGACCTTCCCTCCCATTTTCCATAAGTACCTTCGTAGCTAAATCTCTCAGTAGATATTCAGCCTCCTGTTCCTGGCTATACTGCAGGGCGGCTATTAACGACACGGCGTTGTCATTTGGTCCCAGCTCCCTTCCTTCCTCAGTGGCCTTTTGACTTAGTTCCTCACGCGTCAATTCCAGTTTCAAGCCAACACCTTCTCGCAGTATCACCTCCTGTTCGTCAACAGTCTCCGACATTTCCTCGGGGCCAGACTCTCTCCATTGTTTTCTTAGTTCCTTCAAAGGGATACATTTGTACGTGAGATGGGCATTCGCTTTTGCTACTGACCAGTACTACCGTTAATTTTGAGGTTAAAGCTAGTTCTTGGTCTTACACTTTGAATGTACTTAAAAAGACCTTCTTAAAGAATCTGCGCGGCCGCACGTTTAGGACACCGAAATTGCAATCCAGAGGCCTTGAGTTCAATCCGCGCCCTAAGAGCTAGCTGAAATTCTTTTCGGTCGTCACGAGTTCAACTCCTCGGTCACCTTTGTAAAATAGCCAACTGGTTTGCCTCAGGCCAGTTGGGTTTTCTAGCCTTCTGAAGTTTATTTTAAAATGTTTCTTTCTGTTCTTATTTGTGGGCCACAATAAAAACTACTGGTTACAAGTAATTTTGCTACTCCTATAAAAAAGCATTCTTTTAAAAATTCAATTAAGAATTCTTTTTTAGGCTGAGAAAGACTAAGGAAAGGACGGCGATGATGTTTTAGGCCATGATTTCAAACAAAACTTTAAAATTTTCAAACAATATTTTTTGTTTAAATTAAAGTTGCTCATACAAACCTTAAGCTCAAACAGCCTCTCTTGCTGTTGCTCTTTAGTAAGTTCTCGAGTAGCTTTTCTTAGATCACTCTCCTTTTCTTCGCTGATCAAACGTTCCATAAATAACATCTCGCACAAGTGCTTGAGTTCCATCTCTTTCAACACCGCTTCCTGCGAAATTATAACACGTTAAGTTACAAAATCGTTTTCTTTTACGTAAGAGTTAAATTGAGTCGCAAATGCAAAAGTACGACTGAACGCAATTTTACAAGCGAGTTTTGATTGTGAATTTTTGTGAAAAAAACGAAAAGATTATCGAATAAATTGCGTTCACACGAAGTCTTAGCCTCCCACGCAGGCGTTTTTAGGGGAGCTCGTATTTCTTCCCTCCCCACAAACGCCTGCTCAAAAGAGGACAACATTCCTTTCCCATTGTTGCATTCGCGTGGTAAGTGACCAATCAACGGTTTTTAAATAAAGTGTTGACAAGCTAAACATGACTCATAAGCTCGTGATAGTTAGAAAACGTGACCCCGAACGCGACCCTAGAGTTACCTTTTTCCTTCTTTTCTTTCGCTCGCTAAGGTTATGCAGTGCACAGAGAATTCTAAAACCTGACTGAGTAAATCTTTCTTTTGCCGCTCTGGGACTAACATTTATTTGAGGTCATGAAGGTTTCTTAAAGTTTCATGCAGATGGCGTGATTATCGGGTTACCCTGCGGTCAAGTTCAACTTTCCAGAATTTGGAAAGTACGACGTGATTGGCTAAGCGTGGGAAAGGAATGTTGTCCTCTGTTGAGCAGGCGTTTGTGGGGAGGGAAGATATACGAGCTCCCCTAAAAACGCCTGCGCGGGAGGCTAACCAAGTCTATACTGCTGCCGTTCTTATGGATGTTTAAAGGTTTAAAAATCTGAAGAGGTTAGTGCATGGATCAGAATCAAATATCATAACTGCATTTACTGTAACCTTCATACATACCTGTAGTGCTCCAATACTTGCACTGGAGACTGGTGCCGGATTGCCCTGCGTTTCTAATGTGTTCAGCTGCTCCTTCACTTTGCTCAACTCCGATTGGTCTTTCTGTTGCCAAGTTACCAACCTCTGTTGAGCCAGCTGCTTTTGGCGGTCTTGATCCTGTTTTGAACTGAAAAATAATGTCACAGTTACCTTCAACACAGTTCATTGCGTGACAGACTTGAGACCAAACAGACACGCAAAGCAAAGTGAATACTGACTAAGAGTAACTCATCGGCTGAAAGACTCACTTACTGCTGCAGGCCTATTTTGAAAAGCCCACGTTCGATATATTAAAATTTTAACATGACTCCGAGGTTTTAGGGTCAAAACTGCAAATCTTTCACGACTCCATTATCTGGCAATTCCCACAGGAGACTTGAGCACAAAGAAAACCAAACCAAATATAGAAAAATGACAAGAAAGCCTCGGAGTCATGTTAGAATTATAATATATCGAACGTCGGCTATTGTGTCGATGTTCGGTAGACCTGATACACAGCGAAAACGCCACTCCCTTCCACAGAGCTGTGCTCCAGGGCTCTAGAACTCTAGCAGGGGGCCGGAGCAAGAGGTCCGCAAAACAGGGACTTTCTGCTTTCTGTCAAACCTAATTATTTTGAATGATAATGGTTACATCGGTTACATAAATGGAACACTACTACGCATTCGCGTCATCCTCGGGTAAGTAGAAAGCGTTTAATACTGTCAACTAAAGAAAAAGCCCTTACATGGTGTCCAAGTGTATCTGCCTAGCTTGGACCATCCCCAGGACCAGAGCAGAGGACTGGAAACCACTCTCCTGTAAGGCTTGTCGCTCTTCTCGGCGCATGCGCGCCAGTTCCGCATGGCGTTGTTGCTCACTCTCAAACTTGACGTCCGCACCACGGATGTCTGATATCAACGCTTCCTTTTCAGTGGCCAAGCGATTCTGAAAGAAAAAATGTGCAAATGTTGTGAGAAAGTTAATGCTATTGCACAGCACCTCTTTCAGCGGAAAAGTTAAGCATTACACTGAATACGGCAGACGGAAAATAGCAAAGATGCCCCAGGAACTGAAACACACGCGCAACACACAATAAACTCACAGACCTCAAGATCTTGAAGCGCGTTTCCAGTGGAAGCCTCTTGTGCCGCTTTCTCGGCTTGTACATCTTCTTCAGCCTCAAGTTTAGCGATCTCTTCATCTGGCAATCCCTGTTCTTTTAATTCCTCCCGCTTCCTTTCACGCTCTAACTGCCGTTGCTTTTGTTGGACTCGATTTTCACCCATCAGAGATATGAGATTGATGGCCATCGAATCGCCTAGGATTTGCTGCAGCTCGTCTTGTTTACCTGCCATTAGCAAACAGAGGTTCTAGGTAACGATGAATACCGAAATAAACAAGCAAGTGACAAAACAAATGTCTGGATAACTGCTGATCGGAGAGCCCTAGGAACCAGTGCATGTCGCTACAAGTCTAATCTAGAAATCATCATCAACGCACAAGGACAAGAAAAATCCTATTGCATGAGGAAGTTTAACTACAGATTTTACTAGTGCACAAACGCCGAATTCTAAGAAAAAATACTTGAACCATACCGTTTATTCTTCTTGCACGAACCGCTGGTTTCCCCTAGGATAACCTCTTTTCTTGAATTTCTTTAAGTTTAAACGAGTTTTAACAAGTGCCAAAACACAAGGGCGTTACAGGTACCTTCTCCCTGCAATTCTTGCACTTTCAACTTCATCTGAGCCAATTTGATAAAACGATCATTATCACTGAGGGCAGCCCACTCCGTCACGCCAACTTGTTGTATCAAGGCATCACGCAACAGCCTATCCTTCAAAGCTTCGTATTTGTATTGCAACGCTTGTGACAGGTCACGTTCATTAGCTGTACCCCAAAGCTCAGCTTGCGTTACAACTGTCGCTACGTTCTCATGTAAACCTTCTTTTCGTGACTGAAAAAGGTTTTCTTGGAGTTGAACAAGCTCTGTTTTATCCTGTGTCAATGCGAATAAAATAAAAACAAATAGTTCAGTTAATCTTAGAAAGACATGTGGTATGAGGAATCTCTAAGCCAGGGCCCAGTTGTTCGAAGGCTGATTAGCGCTAACCCGGGGTTAAATTTTAATCAAGGTTTATGTTTCTTTGTTCAAAAGCATTTTCTTGGATAATTTCTAGATTCTTTTTTAGGGTATCCAATCAACAAATAGAGACAAAAAGAATTAAACTGAAATTGCTTTACAGCTTTCATATTTGGATTCAGATTTTGCGCTAACCTTAGGTTATCTTAATCTAGATTTCAACAACCCGGCCCTCAGATCTATTCAAGGGATGCACGTCTGTTGCTTATGTGCTTGCTCGGTGTCGCTGTGATACTCTTATTCCTTACAGAAATATCAATCAAACTAATTCACTCTTGCTTTTGTACGAGAGGAACGCAAGTCTACCCTCAATATATAATCTTGTCTCTGTTACTGTCACTGTGTCCTTGTGTTTCTGTTCCTGTCCCTTTCCTTATGTACCTGAGTGCCTCTTTTGGTTCCCTAGGTCCCTTCCCCTGTGTTCCTACTCCTGTCACGGTCCCTGTCCCTTCCCCTGTGTTCCTGCTCCTATCACGGTCCCTATGTCCCTGTTCTTTTTTCTGTCCCTACCCATGTTCCTGTCGCTATTCTTGACCCTTTCTTTGTGTCCTTGTGTTCTCGTGTCCAGGCCCCTGTCCCTTCCACTCTACTCTGTTATATTCTGTTCTATGTCCACTTCCGATCCACCCTCGAGCGACAATTCCTTAGTTTCTCAACCGCGTTTGAAAGAGGCTACAATACTTGTCACATTTGTTGAAACACTTGTCACGTTACGCCCTCCTCAATGTTGATTTACGTGTAAACGTTGTGCAAATATACGCCAATCTCAACATTGGCGAAGGAGAGAAGTACAATCGTGGAAAAGTTAAATCAGTTGGTTTAGAAGGCGTGACATGAAAACTCCTCAGCTTCAGTCTAGTGTTTAACGAAATTTGAGGAGTATTGTAACTCTCGAAAGGTCAACTGTTGAGTCTCACAAGCAGAAGTAGACACACTGTAAAACGAGAGATTTTTTTTGCTAGTGTCACTAAATGTAAATGGCGAAAGGACAACTGTTGAGTCTCCCGACAGCACAAGCAGAAGTAGAAACACTGTAAAACGCGAGAGAGTTTTTTTTGCTAGTGTCACTAAATGTAAATGGCTAAAACTTACCTTATCCTGCAAGTCGTTGACTAATTTCTCGCTCTCTTGATCCTGTTCTTGTTGCAGATCCGCCAGCAGAGAAACAATAACATCATCTTTCTCTACGACTTCATCTTGAGAAGTCTCGAGGTATTTCTGCCGGTTTACAATCTTGAAAACTGCAGCCTCCACTAACAGATTACGACGAGCTTCTTTATCTCCTACGAAGTCCAGCAAAAATTAATTGGTTCATGCTACAAGCACCTGGTTAAGCTGTGGTCGTGGTCATTTTAATACAACCGCCCTCAGACCCAACGCAAGGCATAAGGGGCAAATACAGTGGACATAGCATATGACTAGTATATCATGCAATACCTGGATCAAGGGAGTTTATTTTGCTGCTTATCTGCTGAAGTCGGCTCTCTCGCTGTTGTTGGGTCAAAGTAGAGGCAGCTTCAGTGAGCTCGGGTTGGTCTTGTTGCAGAACGTCGAGTAAAGCCTGGAAAAATCACCTCTAGGTCAGTATCGTTGCCCCTTTTAGCAAGTCAATCCCTCCCGGAGGATGGTACGTCAACTATGGTCAAACCTCGGTAAAGCGGGGTTTGCTGTATAAATTATTCAACGACCTACTGCCCAGAATAATGTGTTTTAGGATAATAGAACTGTGGTGCTGAATTTTTAACAAAGTCAATACATGAGTTTCTTCAGAACCGCCTGTATCACAGACTAAGTAAACATCTATCTCGTGTTTAAGGATACTCAACACAAGCAAACAGCCCCTGGCCTTAATACTTGCCTTATTTTCTTTTAAAATTACGAAAAATCTCGCCGAAAGCATCCTCGCGCGAAGTATCTGCTACGCCAAAGTAAATGGGGAATGGTTTCTACCTATGACCTAACCAATCAGAACGCATTTAAATCATCAACCACTCATACAGTAAATGCTTTAGAGATTGGTTGATTGTATCGTGAATTTCGGTAGTTATACCAAGGTTTCCAATCACATCCCGAAGATTTTCGAGATTTATCCGAAGATATCTCACTAAGTTGTTCATCAATATGAATTCAAAAATCTTTGCTACCAAGCAATTTTCTGGGCATACATTGGGTTAAAAAATTTTAACTTGCGCCTACCTGTCGTTCATCTTGATGTTTATGTTCTAGTGCTTTCATTACTGCTTCCTGCAGCACACCCACGTCTCCGTCAGTTACCAGTTTATCCTCGGTCTCTTCCTCCTTCGCTTTTCTGCGACTGCGCAACTGAGCCAGGCGTTCCCGTGCCAATTGTTCTTGCCTCAACCGATCTTGGCGAAGTCTTTGAGCAAAAGGAAACTTCCGTTTAAGTGTTCAAGAATGTTGTAAAACAAGTGGGCAAAAGCAAAAACGCCGTAACATAAGCTTAGTGTGACTTTGCACACTCAAGGCCACACAACTTATTCCAAAATGGTGACAAAACTAGTAATACTTTTTTGTCTTTTTGGTAACTGACCCTCAATGCCTCAAAGTTGTTTTTTACTTCTTCAGATGTAATTAAGACCAAGAGGGCTGATAAACAGAAATATAAAAGAGAAGTAATATTGCTACAATTTTGAAATCAATTGCATGGCCTCCTATATATAAATATGCTCTTTCCAGGTGGCGAACAAGTGACCTTTCTTACGCCAAAACTTGTGAGATGCAAGTTACAAAATTTCAGGGATAGAGAAAGTATAACAGTGTAATGACTCTACTAGTGTTCAGGTTTTCCTAACAGTGAGGTTAATTTATGGCAGTTTTAATAACGGCGAATGTGCAATTAGCATTATTGAAAAAATGAACTTGCGGTCAAACTACTTTTACCTTTTTAATCCTTATAATTTTCAAGGTAATCCAACACCAGCAAAATCTTAGTCATGTATTAGTAACATTGGCCGGCTTTCTAGCAGTTTTTTTTTTTCAGACTTTTTCCACCCCTAGTATCGCTCGGTTGAAACCCATAATGTTTCGCTTAAGAAAAGCCACGTGAGTGCAAGGTTTAAAGGACTGTAAAAGCACATTTCATTTTCTTTGTTATCCCACACCCAACGTTTTGAAGATGACCTTAAAATTTTTACAGCTGAGATAAGAAAGGGAAGGGGGCGGGAAGAGACAGAGACGCCATAGGCTTGTTAAAAAAAAAGTTGAGCGTAAGGTTTGGCATTGCAAATCTTTTAGCTAAAGCAGTTGTTAAAAATCCTCTTTTCTCTTTATTTTGGCCCTTTTGCGGAGATACATCCTGATAACTGCACGAACCTACCTTTCTTGAACAGCAGCTTTCTGCTTCTCAGCTAGTCCCAGTACTAACGCAGCCGTGGTAAATTTGTCTTCCTGCTTTGCTTTGAGTTTTTCTCTTTTCAATCGAGCGAGCTCCGCCTGCCTCTGCCTCTCGCTCATGAATTGCTCATCTTGGCCTTGTAATCTGCGCATCAGGGCGTCTTTTTCGTCCTCATACCTAGGACCAATGAGAACACTTCAGCATACGCTGTTAAGTATTCAGTAAGTAATTTACATTACTTTACCTCCATGCAATAATGGAAAAGAATCCTTAACAGTTTAATTCACTTGTAAAAAACAAATTCGCCTAAGGAAGCTCTGTACTGTCGCAATTAGCCTGTACCAGGCTCTAGGTCAGGGTAGACGAGCGAAAAAGCACGCGAACGGCTAAAAAGCGAGCGAGGGCTTTCCGCGCTTTTTTTTTTGATTCGGTGAATGGGTGTCTCCAATATCTTTAAGCCTTGATCAGGCTATGTCGCAATTTGTAATAATCATCGCGCTTTGTAATACCGGATAGATATAATTTGTAATAAATCAATCGCAGTTTAAGAACCCGACGCAATTTGTAATAAATCTATCGCACCATCTGTCATAATTTGTGGTAATAACCATCACTTATCGCACTTTGTAATTCATTTCGCAATTTGTAGCAGTCGCCGCACTTTGCAATTAAACTATATTTGCACTTTGTAATAAAAAGGTTATCGCATTTTGTAATAAACTTTTTTCAGAGTTCTTCACCTTTTATAGGTTGCTTAAATCCTCATTAACAGGAGGCAATCCCTTCAGCCATTTTGCAAGCTTTCTAGTGGAAATATATTAATGGGTATTTCGTAACACAACACTATCCTGTGTGGGAGTGACGTTTCAACACGGAAGCTCTACATTTCCGTAACCCCCCTTACCCGAAGAAACTTAGAATGTCCCTTTCGGGACAGTCTGCATTACAACCGTTCTTTGTGTCGCCACGCAACCGAACAAACAACGACTGTGAAGCTGACTATATTCGGAATAGACTCCAAAAACTGCCTCAATTACTCACCTCTTGTCTAAATCATCCAGTATGGCTTTAACATCTGTGACTTGTTCCCCTTGTCCCTCGCCGTCCTCTAAGTCCTCCTCGTCCTCGTCGTCTGGGGGGAGACCCTGGGCTAATCGATCCCTGCGTCTTGCTAAACGCTCTTTGAGTTTTTCCTCGTATCTGTAAAGGACCTTACTTTAAGTACGTAATGTTGAGTGCAAGAATGCTATTTGAACAACCGTGAACAGTATTGATGAGTATCCGTACCACAAGAAGAAGGAACCCACAGAACCTCAACGAAGGACCGAAGTTACTCAATGAACCACTAAAGAAACGATCAAATGACTCTCTGAATCGACATGCAACATTGGTGGAGATTTTAACATGCATAGGTACACACAATATAATTAGTGAACTTACGCAACAGGACGGGAGAAGAAAGAAGATTGCAAACCTTGTGTGACAAGTGAGACAATAATCTTGTTTGAAAAATTTTTTCGCCGAACTTCACCCTTCCTATAAACAGGTCTTTTTGTAAAGTACCAGAAATATTAACTTAAGTGAAGATCACAACAAAACACAAAAGTAATAGGCCTGTCACGTTTGTCACACACAAACATGTTCCCGTTCTCTTCTTTCTGCTGTCTTGTTGCGTAATTTAACTGTTATAAAACAAGACGTCGGACATATTCGCTTTATAGTCCAGCCATATGGTGTAAAAAAATAGCTGAATTGTGCACTTTGGGGTAAAAGCATCAAACTCGGCACAGAGATAGTACTAGTTGCACTAATTATTTTTAGCTATGGACCCCACTCAAATATGCACGGGAGGAGGCACATTGTGCCCTTGGGGGGGAGGGGTCATGGCCTTTTTGTTTTGGTCCGGAAAAGACTCGAAAACGGGAAGAAAGCGGCCTAAAAAACTTTTGCATTCCCATTTTCTTCAAAGTAGTGCAAGGTAACCCTATAAAATACCTGTTACTTACTTTTCTGGGAGATTTTCTAAAATTATTTTAAAAGAGTGTGTAAGTGATTCTTGTCACAAGGGAAAGCCACGTAGAAGCAAGTTGAGTTACGAAGGGCGGAATTAATTTGAGTTAAAGCATTACAATATTATACATGCACCCCCTGACACATCAAAACACTTCATTAATATTTTTGAGACACCTCCTGATCGAACAAACAAGACTGCACACGGAAGAAACAAAAGGTCAGGCTACGCAAGGAAATTCTGCATGGCGGACAGGAATGGCTGGTCTTTTTGCTCTCTCGTTTGTGAGAGACAGTATGCCGTTTTTCACCCTTGGAAAGATAAGATGTTTCATTTTTACACTTTGATTGAAGTGAATTGCACTTTTTGGGAATTTAATTGCTCAGCCAAACTACCGCAAAAATAAAACATGAGACACTTACAGAGACCTTCAACGACATGCAACGGGGAGTTATTAACCACTTTTATTGCATGCGACAAGAGTAGCCCGCAGTTTTCATCTTCAGGTTATTATTATGCATGCATCGCAGGTATGTAGCCGACATTCGTTTGGACTTTCACTTATAAGGATCAATGAAATTCACAGAAAGCAATTTGATCACTCGCATCTGGATCTTCTCTGGTCACTTAGAATCTGATCACGCGTGTTTAGAACATTTATCAGGTGAAACTTGTGCGAAGCACAGCGTTGGAGTAACAGCGTTTTCATCTTCCATCGTTGTCGCCCTCACTCCGTAACCTTTGGTTTTCTCTTGTTTTCAATAACATATTGATCTCTCTCACACTCTATTGTCATCTTTACAATTATCAAAAATATAAAAAGTGCCGAGTTGGGGAGAAAAGGATATCTAACATCAGACGTCTGATAACAGTTATATAACATAACATATAAAATCAGACGTCTGATAACAGTTATATGACAGCAGAAGTCTGATAACACTTATATGATGTCAGACGTCTAATAACAGTTATATGACAGCAGATGTCTGCTGTCATATATGTTATATAACTGTTACATAACAGTTATCTAACTGTTTTATAACATATATAACAGTTACATATGTTATATAACAGTTATATAACTCTTATATAACATAACAGTTATATAACATATTTATATAACTGTCATATAACATGTTATATGTTATATTACTGTTATATTACAGTTATAGATGTTTTATAACTTTTATAAAACTGTTATATAACATGTTATATAACAGTTATATAACTGTTTTATAACATAGTTATATAACAGTTATATTATATACCTTATATAACAGTTATATGACAGTTATAAAACATAGCATTTATATAACATATTTATAACTGTTATATATGTTATGTTACTGTTATATAACAGTTATATATGTTATATAACTGTTATGAAACTTATATAACAGTTATATAACATAGTTATAACTGTTATATGACAGTTATATAACTGTCATGAAACTGTTATATAACAGTCTCATGACAGTTGTAGAACTGTTATATAACTATGTTATATAACTGTCATATAACATTTATATATAACTGTTATATAACGGTTATGACAGTTATGTGACAGTTATATAACATACTCATATAACTGTTATATAACATAACATTTATATAACATATTTATTTAACTGATATAAAACATGTTATATATGTTATGTTATATAACTGTTATATAACAGTCTCATAACAGTTATATAACAGTTATATAACATAGTTATATAGCAGTTATATAACTATGTTACAAACTGTTAAATAACTATGTTATATAACTGTTATTATATATAACAGTTATATTGTTATATAACTGTATATATAACAGTTATATTGTTATACAGTTATACAGTTATATTGTTATATAACTGTTATATATGTTATATAACAGTTTTATTAAAAACCGAATCATTGGATAATGCAATTCCAGCATTTTGATTGGCTTAGCCGTTATGGTATATGAGCTATTATACCATGCTCTCCATATTGTACGCGTCAGTTCAAAATTGGAAGCTAGCTGAGATTTTTTTGCGAAGGATAGAACGGCGCCTGAAGCAAATTGTTTTAATTCATTTCTTAGAATACTAGAAATGCAATTTCATCAAAAGAAAAAAGACAAAAACAAACAAAAAGCCACAAGAGCTTGTCTGAAAGTTTGTCGAAAAGCACACGAAAACACATGGAACTAAAGTACCTTGACCAGCTACGAAAGAAGACAAGTGTTGTTTCTTCATGATCGTGAAGCCATTCGCCGATCGAGTCACTCGCCAATAGATAACTGCGGCTTGTTTATCCGACGTCAAGAATATACATCACAAGTAACCAGCTACAAATACAGGCTATGCAGCCATTCATTAGAGCAATCGAGGCTAACCCGAAACCACAAAGCGGCTCTAAATGAAAAACCTACCGACTCTCCGCATTGATTCTTCATTCGCAGTTCAATTTAGCATTTCAGTTTCGAAGACAAGGGCAATTTTGCTGTTTAAGATAAAGATTAAGCTTATCGAAATGTTTGACCTAAAAGAAAGAATGCCACGGATGCGATCCGCTGAATATCAAGCGACAATCCCGGTAAAAATTTTCATAATTATACATAATTATGCGAATGTTTAGACAATCAACCAATCAAATCACTACCAGGTTTTCGGGTAGTGAGTGACGTCACTGGATGGCATTAACGGCCGGTCGATTCAGTCGTTGTTGAGAGGAGAAAACCACTCAAAGCAATCGGATGAATTTCAGGCTAATGAAACACGGGCTCCCCTAAAAACGCCTGGATGGGAAGCTAGTTCGCGCGTTGACAGTTTTGATAGATGTGTGACATGTGAATAGCGGAAGTCCCGTTTCTTTTCCTGTTTGTTCTAGTCGGGGAGATTCAACGAGATTTTGTGGGCGTTTTTAATAAAACAATTATTCCACTCGCGCTTGTTGGATATGAGATGATTATACCCGACTCGGCGCTACGCGCCTCGTTGGCTATCTATCATCTCATATCCAACACGCCCTCGTGGAAAGTAATTGTTAAATATAACTGTTATGTAACAGTTATATAACATATATGACAGCAGACATCTGCTGTCATATAACTGTTATCACACATGTCTGATGTCTGATTTTATATGTTATGTTACATAATGTCTGATAACAGTTATGTGACATCAGACAGCTGATGTACATGTCATATAACTGTTATCAGACGTCTGATTTTTGTAACTGTTAGCAGACGTCTGACATCATATAACTGTTATCAGACTTCTGATGACAGTTATATTACATAACATATAACATCAGACGTCTGATAACAGTTATATAACATAACATACAAAATCAGACGTCTGATAACAGTTATATGACAGCAGATGTCTGCTGAGACTGGAGCAGTGCTATATTTGCTGTGATGTTTCACAGCAAGTTCACAACACAAATCTTTGACACATTTGATAACAGCAATGTGTGGATTTAACGCCATATAGAGATATTTTCTAAGTCTTTCTTGCCTTAAGTGAATACCATGCAATGTTTAGAAGAACGCCACAGAAAGAAACACTGATAGTGAACAAGCCTCACATCTCTCAGTTTTTAAAAAGTATGATTGAGATCATCCTGGACCGATGGAGCTAGTATTGAGACACAGTCAAGCAAAATCATACAGAATCGAGCTGCTCTTTATAGCTCCTACCCCTCCCCCTAATCTGTGTTGAAACCTTCCCCCACGCCACCTAGAAAGTTGGATTATATAGACTTTGTTAAAGGACACCATTCCCTATTGATATAGCAGCTTTCTTTTCAATAAGGGCAGTTAAATTGGAAACTGCAACTACGCCATCCCCTGAATACAAAATGTCTCCCCTGACTGGGGTCCATAGCTAATATTGTTCAGCAGCCCAAGTACTATTACCATGCCAAATTTGGTGCTTTTACCCTAGAGTGCACAATTTTTTCACCAAATCCACCATAACCCCAGTTCTTCCTCCTGCAACTGGTTCTTTACATGGCACAGCAATCATAAGGGCTCTCGAGTGATGAAAAGTGTTATAGGATGTTGTACTTTTATTACGCAATCACAAAATGCAATCAGACATCCCCTTTCTTAGGACGAGAAAACCGCCTGGGCCACAAGCCACTGAACTTTTTACATCCCTTAGGAAACTCTGAAGGGTGTTCAAGACACTATGCCCCGGTGCTTGAGAGATTTGTTATCCTAGTGTCTGACCACACAAACCGGAGTCAAAGAGTCAATGATGCCAAAAAAGTTCCGCCTATTTGCACAAAAGGGAAGAAACCTCGAGAACTTCTCCACTATATCAGCACACCAAGGGAGTTGCCTAGCAAAGATGATACCCTGGGTGCGAAACGTGACCAAAGCGTAATGCGACAATGGGCTACTGGGCATGGAAAAGCAATGCAATGCACCACAAAGGATTCTGCAGGAACACTTCCCTTAAACATGTCCCAAAAGAATTACGCGTTGAAGAGAGAGTTGAGTTGGAATACAATGACACGAAAGGAACTCAGAAGAAGACCGAGGAACTTCTACTGATCTTGACAGAAATGTGAGTTGAAATTTGCTGTTAAGATAAATTTGCACTCGCTCTGGAAGAGTTTTACTTATCTCTTAGTCGCATAGAGCGGTAGTTTCCTACCAATAGATTGTATAACTATTTGTCAATGAGACGATGGTTTCGAGTGCTCGTTAACGACTTTTAAGATCACCTTGCCGACTTGCTGATAAGAAAAGAAGATGCCATCGTTTACTGAACTGCGAAGTGTGATCCATGATCACTGTGGTTTTCGGTTCTTTATCCCTTTGAGTAACGGGTACCCTGGGTGCGAGGGGCTTTTCATGCGCGGTACTAAATTCGTGGATCATGAAAAATGGTTTATAACGCATGTGATACGTAAAATTTGTCAAAATTTACGCGTGAAACGGGACCGGGACACCCCCCACCCCCTGCTACCCTCTTATGAACGATGTAACGATGATCAGGTAATTAAATATCCTAAAAAAGTGCCTTAAGTCATCTAGTTTATTTCCGCAGGTTGATTGAACTGATAATATAAGAAACATGCGCTTACTACAGCGGGAAAAACCCACCTTCCCCCCAATAGACACCACCACCACCATCTCCACTACCATGGAGATGAAGAATAAGTTCACAGGAGAAACTAATATTATTGCTAAATGATTTAAAATTATCTCAGAATTCAGGAAAGGTCATTGTATTCTTCCTCACAACATAAACTCATACAGACATGCAAACAGAGATACTCCTACCCCTCCCCCTAATCTGTGTTGAAACCTTCCCCCACGCCACCCAGAAAGTTGGATTATATAGACTTTGTTAAAGGACACCATTCCCTATTGATATAGCAGCTTTCTTTTCAATAAGGGCAGTTAAATTGGAAACTGCAACTACGTCATCCCCTGAGTACAAAATGTCTCCCCTGACTGGGGTCCATAGCTAATATTGTTCAGCAGCCCAAGTACTATTACCATGCCAAATTTGGTGCTTTTACCCTAGAGTGCACAATTTTTCCACCATAATATTATGGTTTGACTATTAGAACATCAAATCGAAAAGCATAACCTACAATCCTAACAGATCCGTTTTATCCTAGGAGAAAGGCAGGTGCTTCGTTCGTTTTGTATAATAAAACACTGTAGGAAAAGGAATCCAACGTGGATACAATACTGCAAAAGCATTGCATGATGAAACAGCACTTCGCAAACGCTATCTGAGCAGCAGAAAAGTAACACAAAAGATGAAGCAGATCCAACACTGCTTCAATACTACACCAACATTGGATACAATGATTTAACATTGAAACAATACTGTGTCAACATTAAACTCTCACACATACCTGGCCTTATTTTCGCCCATCAATTTCCTCAGGTTGGCGTCCATTTCAAAACCTTCTCCAAGTAATCTTTGCAACTCATCCATCTGTCCTTCCTTCCGCAAACGTCTTTCTTCCAACTTAAGCTTGACAAGTCGCCTCTGACGTTCTTGCTCAGACAAGGCCGCCCACTCAACGTCACCTATCAGACATAAAGGAGTTAAAGATCTACCAATCCTTAAATTCACCGATAATCCAAATCGAAGAAATCTGGAAAACAAAGGATATCACCAACATAAAAGAGGTTTAGATATCCGATAGCAAAACCCTCAACATTTTCCGACATTGTGCTACAAAATCTCTCAAATCAAACTATATAAGATGCAAAAAATACCCTTCTATTCCATATCAAAACTCCTTAGGAACCAGGGCAAAAAAGAAGTAAAAAGGGTTAACAAGGAATAACAAGGGGTAACAAAGGTAAAAAGGGTAACAAGGGGTAACAAAGGGTAACAAGGAGTAACAAGAGGTAAAAAGGGTAACAAGGGGTAAAAAGGGGTAACAAGGGTAACAAGGGGTAACAAGGCTAACAAGGGGTAACAAGGGTAACAAGGGGTAACAAAGGGTAACACGGGGTAACAAGGTTAAAGGGGCTATGTCAGCTGTAGAGCATGCGCTCTGAGGTTATGCAAATTACTTTCAACTGTCAAAATTCTATTGTTTTTAACGCGTGACTTTCTCCATGTGCGCTCTGAGGTTATGCAAATTACTTTCAACTGTCAAAATTCTATTGTTTTTAACGCGTGACTTTCTTCATGTTCTCTGTCACGTCTAGTCCAAGGTTCCGAATTTAGAGAGGTTAACAAGCGAAATGGGTTTAGATAAGGGATATTTCGATACAATTTATGGAACGTTTCTTCTCCGGTTATGCTAGATCAAGAATAAAATTGTGACGACAATTTTACTTGTAGTTTTGAAGTAAAAACGCATGCCATTCATAAAATAGAGCGCAAACAAAAATTCAACAACAACATATTGTCTTATTCAACAAAATAAATGGAAGTTGTATTTTACAAACGAGCTACAAAAGACGCTAGACCGAAGATAAAGACCAAGACTGTTTCAAATCATTAACAATTAGACTTGTTTGTCGCTATTGATTTTATAATTTAGATGCTGATAGAACAAGAGACCAAGTCTTTGTTTTGATCTTAGGGAAACATACATTATCGCGCAAAATTGTTCGATCGTGCCGAATCACTGCGACGTCGAGAAAAACAGAACCCAGCATCATTGGTATACTACTCCACTATAAGCAGTCCGTTGATAAAGGGAAAGTAAACTCTGCTATTTTCCAAAATTATGCTCGAACACAAACAGTTCAAAAACATGGCATTTACAGGATCTAACTCGTACTAAGGTGCCTCTCTAAGTCCGTTGAGAACAATCTGGACGAGCAAACGGTCGTGTTTATCTTTGCCGTGAATCGAGATAAATACAAGAAGGAATCTAGCCGAATTTTAGAATGTTTCCTTCGCCAGGAGTTTAGTTTCGTCACGAAACTCATGGCCTGATGCTCTTGTAATCGTTTACAAAAAACGGCCGCCGCCAACTCGATAGCCGCTTCATTATATGTCCACATACTTTGAGTACAAGAAAATCCAAGAGCCAGCAGCCTCTAAAATAACTCAATAGAAAGGTCCTGTGAACTATAGGAAGATTCCATCAAAGATTCCATCACTCATTGTGGAGTAGCCGTCATTAACTCTGCCATTACAACGGCCGCTGATAAGAGGACACAGTAAATCCACGTAAAAAACATTCCACAGGCAAACAATTTTAAAATAACGCCAAAAAATTGTTCTGTAATCACCATAGAACGATTCTTAATACAAAACTTCGCTAACTATCGAGCGATGGCTGAGATTTAGACAGATAAAAACAGCCTTCCAAAATCTCCGACACAACTTGAAAAAGTTGGGCCGTCTTTTTCAAGTTCGTTTTCATTGGCATGCGCATGCGTGTTGTGTGACATAGCCCCTTTAACAAGGGTAACAAGCGGTAACAAGGGGTAACATGCGGTAACAAGGGTAACAAGGATAACAAGGGGTAACAAGGGGCAAAAAGGGTAACAAGGGTAACACGGGGTAAAAAGGGTAACAAGGATAACAAGGGTAACAAGGGCTAACATGGAGTAACAAGGGTAACAAGGGGTACCAAGGTTAACAAGGGTAACAAGGGTAACACGGGGTAACAAGGGTAACAAGGGATAAAAAGGGTAACATGAAGTCACATGGGTAACAAGAGGTAACATGGGGTAACCAGGGCAACAAGAGTAACAAGGGATAAAAAGGGGTAACAAGGGCAACACGGGGTAACAAGGGAAAA